TGAGCGAGAGCCAGGTGAGCTTGGCCAGGTTGCGCTGCTCGGCCGGCGAGGGGTAGCGGTTCTGCTTGTAGAGCTCCTTGAGCGCGTTGCGGGACTTCTCCTTGAAGCAGTACACCGTCTCCTCGCCGTCCCAGATGGTGCGGGGCAGCGGGAACTTCCTCCGCAGCCGGTACTTGTCCACCGCCCCCAGGGGTCTGCCCCGGGCTCGCTCCGCCTCGGTGTAGCGCGCCTTGTACCACAGCTCCTGCAGCAGCGGGTGGTTGGCGGAGTCGAAGCTGTGGCCCTCCAGGATGCTGTAGAGCTCCGCGTAGATGCCCTGGTGGAAAGCCACCAGCGCCCGGGCTTTCATCAGGCTCTCGTTGCCACGTAGCAGGTCGCTCTGGGGCAAAGACCACAGGAATCTGGCCAGGCGGTCCAGGTTCCCACCTTGCTGCAGCGCCTCGCAGACACACGCTACATGATCCGGGGAGAAAGCCAGGGGGGTCTGGGAGGAGGAGGAGGAGGAGGGAGAGGAGGCGGCAGCAGCATGGTGATTCCTGGCCAAAAGTTCCGTGTGGAGCAGTATCTGATCTGCAGCTCCCTCCTCCCTAGCAGCGGAGCCCGCTTGCTCCATGGGGAAAGGGGCAGGGGCAGGCGGGGGGGGGGGGGCAGGGGTGAGGACTGCCTTGTCCCGGGGCACCGTGCCTGCTTCGGAGAGGATTTCCATCACATTCTCCTGCTTGATCGCGCTCGGGAGCTTGTCTGCGGGGGAGGCAGAAGACATGTTTCCCCCCCTTGTTCTCTCTCTCCGCAAAGTCCACTCCTCCTGCTTTCGGCTGGATCTAGCCGATCAGGTTTCCTCCCGGCCACGCAGTAACCATTAAGATAGCTGCTCTAGCAAAGTAGTGTAAACGGATCGCTCCTCTCCGCGGCTCCCCCCAACGTGACTCCTCGGCTAGCTGCATACTATATGGCACAAGCAGCCTGCTGGCCCAGCCGAGCCCCCTCATTGGCCATTTCACATTTTGGGGGCGGAGGATCTGCGGTTTCTATAGAAACCGTCAATCAAACTCCCTTTTGCCTCCCCCCCCCCCTTCCAGTTTGAAACACCTATACCTGGAGTTAGAAAGGGTTAGTGGTATTTTGTTTCTTTTTTCCTCTTGTGAGGGTTAGTTAGGTTACATAAAGGACGTTTCATCACTATAAAGCAGAAAATTCCATTTTATTAGGGCAAAGGAAAAATCAACAAAACTTTAAAACAGGGGAGAAAGTCACCCTTTAAAATTAGTTGGCTACTAGGAATGTAAGCCAGAGAACATGTTACCGCTGCAGAATTACAGCATATACGTCTGGAGCTCTCTATGATGGAATCATTCATTCACTTATTCCCTCAGACTCCTTTTAAAACACAGCAGTTCCTCCCAGAAGATTAAACATAAAAATTTCAAAAATCAAATAAGGTTGTGAACGATCAAGAAGAACCTATTGCAAATACTTGAAGGAAGATGTTATGTAACGTCTTCTTTTTCTGTGTTAAAGCATACACTATAAATAGCACAGCATAAATACCCCAAACATGACAGAAATGAAACTATACTTGTCACCTTAAGTCACCCAGAGTTGTCAATTAAAGTAAGAAGGACATGATACAGCAAGGCAAATAAAACAGCAAAGCAACACGACTAATCCGTGATGATGAGCAGCAGAAGCTGATCCAAACGTCTGATGATAAGAGCGACTAGGTTCAGTGCATGGTCAAGAACAAAGTTTATGTGCACAGTGTACATTCTTTCCTATTCTCTGTATGTGTTGGTATTACTGATCCATTCTATTATCTGTTGACAACATCCATGGCAAGATCAAGTTATTTAAATCACTAAAATGCCAGAATTAAAATAAAGTAATAATGGAGTGGGGTTCGTTATTTATCCTAAGTAAATCAAGTTATTTAAATCACTAAAATGCCACAATTAAAATAAAGTAATAATGGAGTGTGGTTCGTTATTTATCATAAGTAACAGAGAAAACAGAATTGTCCAAAGCTAAACTGTAAAATTAGCTCTTTCCTGGATTTTAATTGTTTGCTCTGTCAATTTCCCTGCCTCTCTACGCTTCATACACATGGCAAATACTTGGGCTTTTAAGGACTTGCTCTATAACCCCTGATTTCCCCCCCCCCAAAACTCGGTGTTGGGCATAACAATAAGCATACAACTGAAAAGCCCTGGACATTATACGGCTACAGCAGGCTGGGTATAGGTATTGTTCGGAGTGCCTGTCTCCACGTGCCTTCGGTGTTGTTTATTTTCATTCTGTGTTAATTATTTGTATGTGCACAAGCTTTCAAGAGAAGGCACTGGGAGGGGAGGGGGGAGGTGCGGTATAAGGCACACACAACGACGCACAACTGACTGCCCTTTTGTCCGCCCCCCAAGCACACGCGGTGTGTGGTGGCTGCAGCAGCAACAACGCTTGCGCTGCGGGGTGAAAGCCCGGCCGGGCCCTGTTTGCAGTGGCAGCGCTTGGAGGAGCGAGCGAGCGAGCGAGCGAGGGAGGGGGCGGGTGCTGGGGGGAGGACCATGGAGGAGCAGAGCTGCCCGCGGTGCAAGACCACCAAGTACCGGAACCCTTCCCTGAAGCTGATGGTGAATGTCTGCGGGCACACGCTGTAAGTGCTGCCGCTGGGGCTGGGGGGGGGGGGCCGAGCAGCTCCCCCAGGTTGGGGGAGGGGAGCAGGCTCAGGAGTGAAGCTCGTACATCCCACCCAGGAGGAGGAAGAAGGTGGGGGTGGGGTGTTGCTGCTGCTCGTGTGTGTGTGTGTAGGGGGGTGCTGCTACAACTGGTTTGTGTCTCTGTGTGTGAGAATATTGCACCTGCTGGGCCTGAAGATCCCACTCCAGCGCAAGGGGCTGTGGAAAGGGGGAGACACACAAAGCAGCCTGAGCATCTCGACCCTTAGAAAGCACTTGGTAGGTATGAGCCCAGTTATTTGCTCCCAGTAATGGTTGCAATAATTTGGTGAGAAGCAGTTCCATGGTGGGTGTGTTCCTCCCTTACTCTACTGCAAGTTTTAAGGTCAATAGCTTGTTCCCTATTCAGTCTCATTTTTCAGGCCTAAATGTGGGGAGGTGTTTTACTTCTGGAGGCTTCTCAGTTAAATCTAGTCTCTGAGAAGTACTGCTCTGTGCAGAAGGATTTCAGCTTACCTATGCAAAGCAAAGTCTGAAGGCCAGAATGAATCCTGCTCATTAACTGATAAATACATAAATTATTTTCAAGTTTAGGTAGTTTGGCAATAAGAAGTTGCTGGCCTTCAGACTTTGCTTTGCATAGGTAAGCTGAAATCCTTCTGCACAGAGCAGTACTTCTCAGAGACTAGATTTAACTGAGAAGCCTCCAGAAGTAAAACACCTCCCCACATTTAGGCCTGAAAAATGAGACTGAATAGGGAACAAGCTATTGACCTTAAAACTTGCAGTAGAGTAAGGGAGGAACACACCCACCATGGAACTGCTTCTCACCAAATTATTGCAACCATTACTGGGAGCAAATAACTGGGCTCATACCTACCAAGTGCTTTCTAAGGGTCGAGATGCTCAGGCTGCTTTGTGTGTCTCCCCCTTTCCACAGCCCCTTGCGCTGGAGTGGGATCTTCAGGCCCAGCAGGTGCAATATTCTCACACACAGAGACACAAACCAGTTGTAGCAGCACCCCCCTACACACACACACACGAGCAGCAGCAACACCCCACCCCCACCTTCTTCCTCCTCCTGGGTGGGAGGTACGAGCTTCACTCCTGAGCCTGCTCCCCTCCCCCAACCTGGGGGAGCTGCTC